ATGAAATCTGAGCCTCACCGATCAATCGTAGTTCGTAGTCAGCTCGAGTAACCGGATAGGCAGACATCAATGACAATGTAAATCCAGAGGGGCCGCGTCAGCATCACACCAAACATGTCACTAAGCTGATAGATACCCCACTCATTCCTCATCTCACCATCGAGATCAGAGCTATCATGTCTTGATGCAGGAAAAGATAAAGCCAAATAAAATGCTGATCAGCCTTCTATGGATCTACGCCATGTTCGCATTTCATATGTAAAAAGAAGAGTGTGTTAGTGCAAAGATTAGAGATGCTCTGCAGTTTGAACATGGCCTTTGATTTGATCTGCTATCTCATGCAAACTAAAATTAGGCCTTTTTGAAATCAGCAAATTTGTATCGTAAACGTTTCATAAAACTGAAACACTGATTTTGACATTGATGGGCGCAGCAAGTCATTGCAGAAATCAAAAATATATTCACTCACTTCTGTATTGCTTAATTACGTCGAATGAATAACGCATCTTTCAACGAATGAGCAACGCTCGATACCCTGTCCCTCCATCTTTTGACAGTAATGAATACGCTCAAATCTTGCTCACAAGTCTTATTATCACTCAAAGAACAACGCGTAAGATTATTTTTTCAATTCAGTTAACCTTGTAAATAAGGTTACGAGGCGCCTAATCTTGGGAACTGGCAAACCTAACTGATCTAAAACTATGAGTTGAAGTCAGTTATGGCAGTTGATCCTCCCTTTTTCTTACCTACTAGTTGAATCTAACTTTACCTAAGCTTCAATTGCTATTAATTTTGTGTTAATGAAAATAGGATTATCTCAATGGACTGGAGGCAGGCTGTTGTCAAGATGTGGAACTATAATACATAAATGACATTGCAAATACTTCAGGCTATTAGTCATTCACCTACTCCGGGAGCTTTTTTCAGTAACTATTTGACTAATCAACTTCATTTCAGAAAGACTTGTCATAAATTGTAAACTTTTTCCTCAATACGTTTCCTCATTTGGAACTGCTCCACCTAACACATTCGTGATCGTATGAATTATATAAGACTTATACAGCACGGAGAAGGAAGACGCGTGTAAAAAATAAATCTGACATTATTCATAAATTCCTCATGAAGCTAGGCCAGATGAATACTGAATTTTCCTCTATGAAATATTTACCATTTTTAGAGAGCCGTCCCTGTCGAAATCACTAATAACTGAAGGATTCTCCTTCTTTTACCTAGAGCAGTGTATTTTATTCGCTAAATCCAAATTATTATTCAAGCAGTACTCCACCAAAGAAGGTTTGATTCGATCGATAGAGAAGAGTGATAACACGAGGGCGAACGATCGTAGACTGGAATCATCGGCTCTAAATAACACAGAGGGATTGAAACGCTAGCCTAAAAGATCAGTTCATCTACGTAGCTTTATCATAGAACAGTTTTATGTTCGACTTTTCTTATTGGCTTCTCTCAAAACAATTAAACTAACTGAACCGGAAGGCACCGTGCCATTGATGAGGATTTAATGCCGGAACAAGTGTCTACCACCGCATAAATGCCATAACAGACCTCATGAAAGGCTCAAGATATGTTATTAAACTACATAGAGAAATTTTCATAGACTCTGAAGAAGAGAATTTTTCCCTTCAGTGTCTTCGGCTAGGGTATGAACCAAAACTGGTAGGTTTGTAACGATCATCCTTGTTTTTGGCTTAAAAATTCGCCAATATTTTGCCACAATTTTCAGCTTGAAATCGTTTGTTACGATGTAGTACAGAACTAAGAGGTCCTTTGCTAAGAGATTTCCGTTGAATTTTCATGTATTGGTCAAAATGTGAGAGATAATATCAGGAAAATCAGAAATAACATCTTTATTTCGATTTCCACAAGTGGGGGAAAATTTGGTAGACATTGGAGCAAAATTTACATTAACAGAACTCTGGTGGGCTAGACAAATCAAAAAAATTCCGCTCAAACACGCTCATCATTCTAGTGCCGCATAAACGTTGTTTGAAGATCGAGCTTCAAGTGGGGTAGTTCAGCATGCTGAAGACGAACTTCATCATAATTGCTGGCGCTACTTTTTGTCGGCAGTGACCCGCTTGAGTACGTTGTCATCTATGTGAGCAGTTTTTTCATTCGCTCACAATCATATTTCATTTCTCTACCTCTTTTCTTCCGACTAACAGTCTATGCTATTTTAGCAACCATCATCTTCTTCGAAGCGAACATATTTCATCTCTAAATGACTATTCTCTACTGCGAACAAGTCCAACGTGTATCGGACAACTTAATTCGACTTATGAGGAGAGATGTTCAACCAATGAACACTATTCCGTTCATTCACAACAGCTACACCAAACAGCAATGAATTTGTAGAATGAAAATTTCCAATCAATCCGTCGATCACTTTCCGCACTTAGTCTTGTGGTCTTCAATCAAACCCCATGCCCACGTATTTCTCCAATAGGTTTTCTCGTTCGCCCCTCGTCAGAAGCAGCGGTCAGTATGGACAGCTGCCAAGACTTATCGAATATTCGAGGGATTACGGTCATGAGCAACAATTACAGCCTATCACATACAGCCATGGATCGTATAAACTTACACCATAACTACTGTAGTAATTGTAGACTAGAAGGTGTAGAGGAATCGACAATATTTTGACACTAATTTTTGTGTAATCGCTGCATGAATAACGAGTAGCATGTTTTACTTCTTTTTCACTTTTATTGACCCGTATCATAGTTCATTTTTTTGACTGTGCGGGTCGCAGTACTTCTCCGTATTCGATTGTATCGTCGCTTTCATAGAAATTTCATCTTCTTTATGAGCTTTTTAGAAAATACGTTGAGCACGTCTCCTTGCAATCTCGAGAATGGCCACGCTGGAGTGTTTCGTAGGGGTTCGCTGATGATCTCCGAAGAGTGCTGGGACGCTGTTAAACCAATGCCGCATGGATTACTTTTATTTGCTAATGGCAATCTCACATTATGGCTCGTCTACACTAGAAAATCTGGCAGCGGTTTTGATTACCGCTTCAAATTCGTTAGATTTTTTACTAGTACGCTCACCACCACCTAATATCGTTTGCAATCAATAAAATTGCGTATATCACCTATAAGCTTAAAGCGCATCCATGGCGTCATCACTAACAAAAAAACGGATTGCATATGTATGCTCAATGTCAAGTTAGCAAATTATCTTCATTCATGAATTCGCTCATCTATAGAAACTAGTTTTTTAACTCTTAAAAAATACCGTCGATCACAGTACAATTTGTAATTGTGAAAGATCCATAATATTTCATTACTTTTTTCCGATTCACTAAAATCTTTGGCTGGACAGGAATTTACCATCGCGTTTTTATGAGCATTTTACTGATTGCTCGGCATTTTCTTTCATTTCTTCCAGTCCGCATTTTACGATCGTAGCTAATTTGGAGCTTAGCCAATAAGCCTTACATTTCATTCCGGTGAAGTGAATTTGTTCTTACATTTTGAAATTAAGGCCTAGTTTACGAAAAAGAAGCCATGACAAAAAACTTTTTTAGCAAACTGTAACGATCGCTCCATAGGGAATAGTTCCATCGTCCATTCAACTTTTTTGACATTGTGCACAAACTAATTTTCAGTAGCTAGTGAAATACATGGTGTTCAACGACTCAACAAAAAATTTTCCAGTTTGCAAGAAACGGCATCTAGTGTTGAATTATGATTTAATTAACAGAAATACTGCCGTTTTCAAATGGATCGTGTGACTTGAATTTGGGAAAAGGGTGGAGGGATGGGGGTAATGGCATCGCTGCATCCAGCTATCCAGTCCTGCACACCTGCTCGCGACCACCTTCGTCAATATCCTCCTCAACCGACAACGGATTACGACGGTCAGCGGTTTCTGTTGCATATGGCCATATATGCAAATGAGACCCACCCACTCCCTCTCAAAGCACGTCTCACTTGTGTCCACCATTCTCGATGTCCTCATTAACCTCACACGATGCCTTCGTCAAAGCCACCTAACGGTGAGTACCACCGCTGTGAATTTTTTGCTGCTTTCCTCTCCTTACTTCCTCAAATTGTTATTTCTCTAATTTCATTCTATTGATTCCAGTGTCTTTCTGACTAGAAATCGATAGCTTACTCTCTTTGAGATTTGTACCGCTTTTTTCGACATTGAACAAGTTTCACTTTGTCCTGCCATTTTTCTAACGACAATGATACAGCCCAGCAAGTAGTTCTATATGTGAGAAGCTAAATTGTAGCATAAAGTTTACCTTATTGTTCAAATCAGGAGATTTGGCATTCGTGCCGACGAGTTGACGTCAGTTCAACTAATGTACGCTCACACAATGCTGAAACTCGAGTTTTTGAACGTGGTCAAAATAGTCCACAAAACAAAACTGGATCGACAGACGTGTCGACTATTTTAAAATTTTGATTGCACTTAGTTATGGTTGTAATTAAAGATATTTGCTGCTCAAATTTTCGACAGGTAATTACTTTAACAGCTGCACCACGGGATCTTAGGCTTGTTTGTCATGAAGTACTCATCAAAAATGTTATCAAAAATTTAATATCCATAATTTGCCAGCAATTTTCGGATAAATTACGTAGCATATCTAAGGACTAACATACAAAAATGGTTGAGCACCTCGTCTTTGCATTCATCTACTTTATCGTTCTGTGTACTACTCACTCTAAATTGACTTATCTATCCTTATGACCTTTCATCCCGATATCATATTTAGTATTCTCTTTATGTCGAAAACGGCTCATTTCAAAGCTCTCATTTCTCCACCAACAAGTAAGATCTGGTTACTGTATTAGAAAATTTGCTAATTGATGATTTCTAGGAAAAGCGAGAAGCTGTCATACCACTGCCATTGTTTCATAGGTTAAACAGCGTTATTGAAGATCAAATTAAATTCTTTTCAATTAACCGCTTCTAGCGGTGGTATGATGTTTCAAATATTTACCCTGATGTATGGTGATGTGCAAAACTTTCGCGTCGGGCGGGACTAGAACCCGCACCTCACTCTTTACAGGAGCGAGTGCTCTATCCGTTACACTGCTGATGCCTATTTTGCACATCGCTCTTTCTACGTTTCTACGCAAAATGGGCGTCAGTAGTGTAACGGATGGAGCACTCGCTCCTGAAAAGAGTGAGGTGCGGGTTCTAGTCCCGCCTGACGCAAAAGTTTTGCACATCACTCTACATCAATGGGTATAATTAGCGTTAAATTCCGATGTGATCTATATACTTATAAACAAAATAAATAATTTAAAAACGAGGAGTGGATGAGAGTATATATATAGGAAGCGAATCTCATTATTTTTCGATCATATCTCATCACTGTTATCATTCCTTATCCAAGTGACATAAACGGTCTAGTGAGCATAACAAATGGATTTAAAGACAGTTGGGAGGACTTAGCTTACACTACTTTGTAACTAAGCAGATATATGATTCCATTTGACGGACCATCCAACATTTGATGACCATCTGTGTCCTTTCGAAGAATTTGTTCACATCAAAATGAGCTTCTCCAAGGCTCAAATAAGACGTCTTCCTGTGCGGTGCGGTTTTCTCGTCCTCATCGCTACTTCGTCATTCTTCCCAATACCGTGGCAATCCAAGTAATAAACTGAATACTCACTGTTGGTTGGTACTCAAAAGACGTGTCGTTTTTAGTGGCTATCCAATCTATTCAAATCTTGCAGATTATTTTCCATGAAGATAAGTGGATAGAGCAATTGGTTCATCCCCACGTAAAGGATCTGTGAACTCTACTTTGTGATGTGTTGAATTGTGACCGAGCCAGCGTGATTTTTTCGTGATCCTAATAATTCTATGCCAGGATATTTCCAAATCTTCAAAATAAGCAGTTCGCGGTTTTCAAATGGTATCGGTTACTGTAAATTCATGGGAATATCTCAGGAATATTACCATTCTACGATGCGTTGAATGAAAAGTACTCGACACTGATTCGTCGAAAGCACGCGCTGTATCAACAAGACAATGGCAAACCGCACATCGCAAAGAGGGCTAAGGAAGAGTTTGATGATTTGGAAGGAGTCGAAGTTTAGCCGCACCCAGCCTAAAGCCCAGATGCTGCGCTGTCGTTATGGTCCAATTCCACTCAATAGAGCATTTCCTGCGTGGACGTCGATTCGAGACATTTGATCAAGTTGAAGAGACATGTCAGAAGTTTTTTGATTCGAAGCTCAAGAAATGGTATATCGAGCAGATCTGGAAGCTTGCAGATCGTTGACAGAAGATCGTGGATAGTGATGGCCCTTATTTTATAGAATATGTATTGTTCTTTTGTTTAAATCTATATATAAACGTAGAATTTCCAGCCGGTGATGACTTTTCCTCAACCTAATATTTCCTAAGGATGGTGAGAGCGAGCAGGCTGTGACCTAAAGTTGAAGTGAATTCGCGCTTCATCGTTTCGATGGCAGCACTACCACCAATCATCGAGCCGTTTTCATCGAGTTTTTGCAGGCAATACGATTTTTTATTTCTTTGATTTTCTTCTCTCAGGCAGAATTTAATCCTCCTAATTTTATGTGAATTTAATTGATTGAATCATGATCCGCAACTAATAGTAGCGACGGATTTGACATGTGAGGGCAACAATTAACAAAGAGTACGCTGGTTTTTGATATTGCCAACTGTTTGTTCGAACTTTACATACAAATTTTGCATGTAAATTTCCTGTTAAGATTTTTTGATCTTATAGAACATTGAAACTTTTTTACGGTTATTATTTCTTAGTAAAAATTTTGCACCAATTACTAGGACAGGTCAGGAATCTGATAATGGACAACGGAACTTCAACAACATGAAAAACTATCACCGCGTGAGAATAGCGGTTAAATCGTGCGAGAATCGTATTAGGATTCTAATAAGACATAACAACATCAAAAGCAAGGAATGCTTTCATCATCAAGTGGGAGCTTCTCCCATTCTTGGCGTAAGCTGGCACAGAATGGCAGCATCAATATCGACGATGGGTGGCTGGTTGGCTCTTAAAATGACTGGAATGAAATCCAAGGTTTCATGGCTGAATTATAGGTAACCAGGATATTTTAGAGACTCTTAGGAAGTTATAAGATAAGATGTTCTCGAAAGATATTCAGGTTCAAAAAGTATTATAAAAATGTAAGATCAAAAATGATAACGCTACTACATGGTTCAAAAAAGATTTTTCTTCCCTTGCAAAACTCATGATCTCAAACCACATTGGGCATGACCAGGTCTTTCTCTTGTTGTTTTTACTCGTTTTACTTCCTCCATCAGTCTTTCTTTCCTTCGTACGAACTCAAGATTAGTCTTCACTCTACTATTTTCCCTCTTTCTTTCCGCTTCTCAATTCCTGCAATTCTTCAGCCAACTCACTGCTTACTGGTCATTCGCTAATCCATAAACATTGGCATTTTCCCATCGCACTAGTCATATAAGTTAATTAAAACTTGAATATTCTACGACGACGTTGGCAATCGCTGCAGGCTTCTCTAGTATTCGGGAATCAGCTTAGCAGTTGCGGTCAACGCCGGATTACTCATACTGCTCGTTATCGAACGGATCCGTAGACGAACAGCATGATTTACAAAGAGATGAAATGAACAGTGGCGAAAATCTACGAAACGAAGAGAGTACAGCATGAAAAACTCGTACACTCATCGAAATTTCAGTAAAACCATTGGAAAATGAATTTCCAGGCCAACTCTCTATAAACTTCGGCATTCTCTAATAATCCACAAATTTTTCTTTTCAGACCAGACACGAGGTTGATATAGCAAGTTTATTTGATCAGCTGACGTTTTGGCGGTTTCGCCTTCTTCATAGCCTGGAAAGATCCGGTTGCCAACAACCCAATTAGCCAGACACCTCCATTACTCAAAAAGGAAAATCATCAAACCTATATTTAAAGCGCATCAAGTGCAAGGCAGCTTTTTAACAAACTCATCGCTATTTATGAGCCGTTCGCTGAGTTGTCCGGTTCGAGACGAACCGTGCAGGATCACATGGACAGTGCATCTTCCCCATCAAAATAAGAGTCTTATATATCGTACCATATCACGTATGATTACGAGGCATTCTTCCCTGCGGTTCACATGCTGGGATTGATGGTCTTTATCCAAAACGCTTCCAAAATCTCGTGCGCTGCGGTCTTATACTCCTACGCAAAGCAGTGTTTTCTACTTCAAAATCCTTCCCGTTATGTGCCTGTATACGTTTGTGAGCCTAGTGGGTACTTGGTTTAGTTTTGAGCTTGCCGACGCATGTGCTTCTTTGTAGGGACGCTGAGTGGCCTATCCGTTTCGTCAATATACTTTTCGCCGCAGGATTTACAAGAGATTAGATGGAAAAACTGACTTGGATTTCGGGAAAAAGTGTCAGATTTCGAGAGATTTTTCAAAGAGCTCAATGATTTTCGTCATATCAAAACATTTGCCAAGCATCACAACGTCGGAGCTGACAAATGTCTAAGTTAAGAGGTCAGATAACACTGTAAAGTAACGAATTTACAACTGTGCAATTTTTCTTTTTCAAGCGACCGTAGGACACTTCAATAGCTCCTCTTTAGCCACTCCTAATTGAAGGATCAGCGATAAAGCTCATGACGTTGATCAATCCCTGAGGGATGCGCCATGCATTCGTCTTCAATTTCCATCTTCGTTTGAGGTGATTGAATACATATCTGACCCTTCACAATGACTCGCGGTGGAGTCCCGCTATATCGAGTGGGTGCGCTTATCCTCCCAAACAAGTCTGAGACCAGTCTAGTACCAATTTACCGACTGCGGAGGAATGGATGGCTTGGTTAGCCATAAGCGCGAGACCGAATCATCGACCTTGTGTGCGACGTAGAGCACCTTTATCCACTGCACCACATGCGCTCTATCTAATCCTAATTATATCACTATAGTTTCTGCTCGACGGAATCCTACTATTGAACGAAGTTTCTTTTTACCACAAGATCCCGCAGTAGCTGTTATGTTGCTCGCAGTATACTACCGTAACTAGTACTTACCTGATATTGGTTTGAATCGCGAGAAGTGTATATCTTGTTACTAAATATCGCTCAAATCGGTGGTGATCGAAGCATTGTTTTGTCTGCGAGTACTCCGGTAAATGTGTTGGAACCCATGTGGCCTATAGAGAGAACTTATAAAATATATCGTCTCCAAGATCCTCAGATATCGGATTTTTTTATTTGTCGATCGTTACATGAATGAGTGACAGTAATGCAGCTTCTTTTTTCTTCGCTATTTTTCGTTTCCTGCAATTATCATGACTTGATTAGCACTGTAAATGTGCCGGCTTTTCCTATCACTTCCTTTTTTGCATTCATATTCTGGCCCACTTATTTCCTCCTCACTATACATTTCATCTTTATCTCACTCATCTTCTTCGCTGTTTCTCGTATGCAGAGTTTGGCGTTCCCTTTATTGAAAGTGGTGGTTATTACCGAGTAGGCGGAGCTATTCGACAATTTGCTCGCAACAATATCCATGTCGACAACCATCACTATGTCCTCGCTGCAATAATAATTACTTGTTTTCGAATGATCCTATGTGTTTACTACTTTGTTGTATTAGATTATATGTGTCTTATGGTTCCAATTTTAGCATATGTCTTCATCTCACTCATCCCGATTTTCTTCCCTACTTTTGCTTTTAATTTCGGCCCAACATCATCTTCGAATCAACAAGTAGGAAGCCCGGCCTAGGCTCCATCGCCGAAATCCATTCCTTGGAAACGATATCTGAAAAATTGAGAACGCCCTTGCAATGTTATTTCAGGAAACCAAGAAGGATCATAAGCACGACCAACAATAGAGCATTTGGAAATTATGCTGGGTCCGCCCAACCAGTGAAAATGGACCATCTAAGTGTCTTTACAGAGTTTTCATCGTCCTCATGTCTTTTGTGGAAAATTCAGTCAGTTGGGAAAGTGCTTCGGTTTAAAATTCCCCTAAAAATTTATGTCGAGCTGAAGGTTCTTTCGAAAAGCTATGCATTACACATTGAAGGATATGCTATGATTTGTAGTCAAGCAAAAAGG